GGGGTCATAAATCATGAATTGCACGATGCATATCTCCACTAGGATGCGTCTCAAGAGTCAATAGAAGATTATCTAAAGACTCCTTAGTCAGGCCATCCTTAATCAAATGTATTTTATCTTCACGGTTTATAGATACCATTCCTAAAGAACGACATTGTGTATTACAAGTCCATCTAGCACATCGATGATAGACTTTTAGTCGTTTTGCATGACGCTTCTTTGCAAAAGTGCTTTTACCTATTCCATGCATGTGTGAAATGAAGGAGTTAGAGGACTTACTTGATAATCGGACCTTTGCTTCAATCAACCAACGAATATCTTCAGGAATTCCATGATTCATTAACAATCTCAATCTTGCACATCTAGCATGGTAAATTTTTATAATCGCATTCTGAGGCAGAGCGGGAAAATACTTTTTCAATTTTTCAAGATTAGTGTCCATTTTTAAATGAGAATTGGAAGAGAGATTCAAAGAATTGCACAAATATATACATAAATATCAGTTATTGTGGGAGACTGAAAAAACCGATTTAAGTCACGGAGTACCGTTATCTATCATTTGACCGGGGTGAGAGAAACTAGCAAAAATCACTAAAACAAAAACAATGTGAGAAAAACAAAATAATCAACCTTTATCTACAAGATCATTCAAACCAGTTGATTCATTTTTACTAGGAAAATTATCAAAGTAAGCTTTCAAACGATGTCCATTTTCCTTAAAATCATTCTCATTCATTGAATTCTCAATATCACAAGCCCCATAAGGATTGTTCCATCTTGATCTTAGCTCTTTATGGAATGCATAGAGTTGAGAATTATAAAACAAAACTTTTTGACCAGTATCAACTTTTTGACAATTTTCACAAGTTTTGCAGAATGCATGCGTGTCCTTGAACATGGTGGGCCAATAAAATCCATTTTGAAAGATTTTTATAACTGTCTTTTTTGACGAGAAATAACTTTCACATACTTCAGAATGATAAAGTTTAATGACACTACTTACCTCATTGTCGGGAATGAATCTTTGAAATATTTGATCAGGACAATATTTGAATAAGTTAGGGTTATCACAATAAAAGCTCTTCACTTCATTCAAAAACTTTTCTTTGTCTTAGATACTCCAATCAGCTGACAAATCTCTTAAAGCAAGAAAATTGATATTTTTATCATACCAAGGCATTGGACTAAGAGAAAGTAAGGATTCGTTAGGAAAGTAATCATCGATTGGTGTGATGTCAGATGTCGAATCTGTTGTCCCTGTTGATAAAATATTCACATCAATATTTTCGGTGCCTTTTTCATCCGTGATTTCTTTCTCAAAATAAATCATTTGCAAATCTTCAGATTCATCCAATTCATTTTTACTTAAAGTAGATTCAAGTTGATCTTAAACTAATTCGTCAATATGATCTACTTCTTGTCAATCATTATCATCTCCAGGTTGCTTGCAAATGTTGAAAATATTCATCTCCAATGTCATGTTTCCAAATGATAGCTTCATCAGTCCATTCCTACAATTAATTAATGCGTTAGAGGTTGCAAGAAACGGACGTCCTAAAATAAAAGGAAATGAATTACATGCTTCAATAGGTTCTGTGTCCAAGATAATAAAATCCACAGGATAAATGAATTTATCGACTTGTACTAACACATCTTCAATTATTCCTCTAGGCACTTTTACAGATCTATCGACAAGTAAAAGAGATATAGAAGTTGGTTTTAACTCACCTAGATTGAGACTTTAAAAAACTGAATATGGAAGTAAATTCACACTAGCTCCAAGATCAAGTAAAGCTCTTTCAATTTTATGTTCTCCAATAAAGCAAGAAATTGTAGGACAACCAGGGTCTTTATATTTCAAAGCATTATTGTTCTGAAGAATGGCACTTACTTGTTCTGCTAAAAAGGCTTTCTTTTTCACATTCAGTTTCCTCTTCACAGTGCATAGATCTTTCAAAAATTTAGCATAGGAAGGAACCTGTTTAATAGCATCCAGCAAAGGTATATTGATCCTTACCTGTTTGAAAATTTCAAAAATTTCAGAGTTGTGATTGACTTTCCTTTGTTTGGTCATGACTTGAGGAAATGGAAGTGCTGGTGGAGAATCAGTCTTTTCTTTACAATTTTCAGATTCAACCCCTTCCTTACCATCAGAGATTGACTCATCATCTTTCTCATAAGGTTCAAGAGAGGGTTTTTCAATAACCTTACCACTGCGCAGAGTAGTGACTGATTTGACTTGATCCATGTGTTGACTTCCGGAACTACTTGCATTTGCATTGTATTGCCCCTTGGGATTTTATTGTGGTTGAGATGGAAACTTACCTTTCTCTTGAAAATTGAGAGCAGATGTCAATTTTGCAAGAGTATCTTTAAAATCTGTCATGTTTTGAGCAAGTTGAGTATTAATTGTCTCTTGCTTTTCAATGAATGCATGCAATGTTTCCTTAAGATTTCTTCTAGAAAGTGGAGCATAAGGAGGTGCATATCCATGAGAATTTTGGAAATTGTGGTGTGCTTGAAACGGTGGTTGTGAAGTTTGTGCATTGTTGTTCTCACTCTTCCAACTAAAATTTGGGTGATTTCTCCAACCAGGGTTGTATGTTTGTGAGTATGGGTTGTGGTTGGCCCTTTGAAAACTGTTTAAAGCATGGGCTTGTTCATGGAGACATTCCTTAAAAGAAGGCAAGGTTGGACAATTATTTGTTGAGTGTTCATTTGTTTCACAGATTTGACACACAATGTTTTCAACATATTTTAATTGGCCACTCTTTTTCAATTCTAGTGCCTCGATTTTTCTAGCTAAAGATGCAAACTTGGCTTGAAGGTCATGATCTTCCCTAAGGTTATACATACCTCTACTAGATGTATGAGGTTGAGTTTTACTCGGTGCCTCATAAGTACCCGCGGTGTCCCAATTAGATAACGTCAAAACATCATTGATAACGTCAAAATTAGATCCACTCAAAAACATGAAAGTTGTAGGCAATTATCTCAGCTTTCTTGTGTAAAACTTTTAGCTCATTTGGACTTCTAGAACTCCAGATATGGCCAAAATACTGAACAGTGCTCGGGCTGTAGGACAGCTTCGGGCTTCTTTGTTGTTGCAATAATTTGGACTTGAAAATGGCTTTTTTAGATCTTGGGCTCCATATGAAAGTTATAGGTCTATGCCTTATCTTTCCATCAATATAAAGTAGACCTAAATCTGAGATCTATAGCTCTAGATATGACCCAATTACCGAACAGTGTTCCGGTTTGGATTGCACCGACATCTCTTTTCTAATTTTGGTCATCTCTTTGTCCTTGCAATTTAAGTTCTTAAATTCATCAATCAATCCTTTCATTTATGTGATAGGCCTGCATTTAAAATGAACATTTACCATAAATTAAAGGTATCTTATATTATTAGATATATTATTATAAAACATGCTTTAGTTAAGGAGTTATTGATACTTCAAGTGCAAAATGATGATATAAAACCATGATAAATTGATACTTCAAAGATATATTATTATAAAACATGCTTTAGTTAAGGAGTTATTGATACTTCAAATGCAAAATGATGATATAAAACCATGATAAAAATGCACTTTTAAGTACTAATCATGTATATAGGCTAACTACTCCCCATTGGCATTGAGTTGCTACAAATCCTATATCAAGGTATAATAGGTATTCATATAATCATTAAAGAAATATATATCATATCAAATTGAATTTAGCTCGATGGAATTTAAGTGTAATTAAAAAATAAATAAGTACTTGAAAAATAAAGTAACATATATAAATATTCAAAAAATTAACTAGTCGTACTCATCATATAATATATCATAACCCAATTCTGGGTTATTCTCTAAAAATTATTTTTTTCAAAATAAAAATAAAAAAATAATAATAAAGGCTGGCAATGTAAAGAAAGCAAACCGGGAAATCAAGTTGTAATTTTGGAGGAAATTCAAGATCTAATTGTACCTTATTATGTCAAAAAATATAAAAAAAATGCAAATTTAAGGTCAAAATAAATGATTATTGAATGAATTTACATAAAAATTAAGTCCTAGGACATAATTAAATCTTTAATAGGCCAATTTGATTTAATCATGGGCCAAATTAAATTTTAATTATGTTTAAAAATTAATTTGAATCTAATTGAAGGATTTAATTAAGTGCAAAGACTTAATTATACTTTAAATGGGTCAAATTAATTTTATTTTGCGTTAATTGGTGAAAAATTAAGTTTGAGGGCCTAATTTGGGCTTAATTGCATTAAACAAAAAAGGTTTAGGGTCAATTAGGGTTCAATTGAAAGCAATTGAAAGAGGAATGACTGAAATGAAATTTGACTAAAAAAGAACTCAGCACTGTTCATTATCCATTTTTTTCTGAAGAAACTAGTCTAGTTACCTACTAATTAGTACTTAAAAAGTAAATTTTTATCAAGATTTTATATCATCATTTTGCACTTCAACTATCAATAACTCCTTAACTAAAGCATGTTTTATAATAACAAAGTCTCATACCATAAGATACTTTTAATTTATAGTAAATGTTCATCCTAAATGCAAGCCTATCATATAAATGAAAGCATTGATTGATGAGTTGAATTACTGAAATTGAAAGGATAAAGAGAGGGTGAAGCTTAGAAAAGAGAAGCTAGTTTAGTTCAAACTAGAACACTGTTTGGTAATTGGATCATAAATAGAGCTGTAAAACTTAAATTTAGGTCTACTTTATATGGATGGAAAGAAATCTAAGACATAGACCTAAAACTTTCATGTGGAAGGCAAGACTTAATTTTGCTATATGAAAGTCCAAATCTTAGCAACAACATAGAAGTTTGAATCTGTCATACAGCTTAGACATTGTTCAATATTCAACTCATATCTTAAGTTCTAGAAATTCAAATAACCTCAATTATTTTTTTCATAGAAAGCCGAGATAATTTCCTAAAATTTTCATAAGCTGAGATAATGCGAGTGCAATTCAAGAATAAATGAGAGTACTTGGAAAATAAAGCAACATATATAAATATTCAAGAAATTAACTAGTGGTATTCATCATATAATCAACATACATATTTATTTATATTATATGCATATTAAATATTATCTCACTCACCCGAAAAAATATAGATTAAAAGGAATATCAGATGAAAGACTCGAAAAATCTATTGAGAATCGTTAGGAGAACCTATAACAAATATAAAAAATATACTCAAAAGCAACTCAAAACAACACAAATAAAAGATTCCATTGCATAAAAGAAAATCAGGTTTAGTCTCCTAGGTTTAGAGACTAAAACGATAATTTTCCAAAATAGAGACCAAAACATAATTTTAATAAAATTAGAGGATCAAACTATAAATACATAACCATACTAAAATTCCACTCATAAAACATCCTCAATTATGTATAGAATTAACCAGGGACCGAACTGTAATTTTTATAAAGTTTAGACTAAAATGTAAATTCCTAAAATTAAGGGACCAAACTGAAAATATTCCAAATCAATTATCAAAATGAGATTCATCATCCTTAATCTCATAATAACACTTTCCACAATCTCAAAATACATTTAAGGGTTAAATTATAATTTTTTCAAAGTTTAGGGACTAAACTAAAATTCTCATAAATTAAGGATCAAAATAAAATTTGATCATCTTCAACCTTGAGAACATCATGTTCAGATTTTTCAGCAAGCTTAAAATGAATTTCTTAACCCTATAAGAATTAATTTAAACAAATTAACTCACAAATTCTTATTTCTAACAACATAATAATTAATCATCTACCATTAAACCCTTGATAATCATAAATCATTATTAACAACATAAACTTTTAATCTTTATAAACTCAAATATTTTCTTTAATTATTTCATAAATAAACTATAATTGAAAGTAATATATAAAAAATCACTTACTTGCTATTTTTACTTTTTTAAAACTAAAAATTCAAAATAAAAAATTAAAACATTTGATTCGAGGAAGGTAAGCTTATAGCGGGCACAAAAATTACAAGATAGAAAAGCAACTCTTTTATAACTTTTCTTTATATATCTAGATTAATTTAAGTTGGATTTCGATTAATTTGTACTCAGTTTCTAGTCAAAAATTTAGATTGTACACAGACAAAAAACTTCTTGCGCTACAGAAACAAACTTAAATCCACAAACCTCAAATCCTTCATCGCAACAAATAAGACTAACATTGTCTTGTTAAAGAGTAAAAAGGTAAACGAGATAGAACCTGAATACACTCCTTCGTTGGAGCAATGGGTGCGTGGACCCATAATCCTCCAGATTTGAGTTTGATGACTGTCATTCGAATGTTAGTTGACACACTGGTGAAGCCTAATGCTTGCTCTTGTTCGAATAGCCATTTACATCCCTTCACAGGCTAAAGACATTAAACAAAAGATAACAGCCCTTCTAGCTACAATTTACATTAGCATACAAAAGAATTGTGCCTTTTACAATACTTATGTTTTCCATATATATCAAATTCAACTCTTTCTCTACTAATTTTAGTAGTTTAATCAGAACAAAGAATATTTCTTTTTTTCTAGACTGATGGAATTTCTCCAAGTGGGATTTAAAATGAGGACCTCATTTTGAAGGAACTGCTGCTCCACGAATTCATCTAGAGATGCTTCCTATTTTATCAGGGCATATGCCAACGAAACGGAACAATTTACTCAACATATTATCCATCTCTTAGGCTGACGTCTTTGGTCTCATAATTCATATTCAGTCATGGAATGGAACTCCAGTATTCAGGGGTTCTAAGATCCAGATTGCATTATCCAAATATGTTACTGGTTTCCAATTTCAAATGCAGAATTTAGAAATTCATGAAATTTTAATTGTATTTCACTTTTCTTGAGGACAGTACAAAGTGATTTCAGGTGTCTGACTTTACAGGTACATAAATTCTGTAAGATGGCAAGTAGCTGGGAGTAATAAAACTTGAAAACAGACAAGTTGTGTCAATACACACAGCAAAGGACAAATGTGCACAAGTATATTAAAGTCATAATTATCAAAATTTAAGCCACTCTCCATTATTCTTGAACAAAATCCTTAACAACCAAGCTGAAGATAGAGAAAGTTACCCCAGTCCTTACAGTGCGCCTATTAAGGAAAGGACCAAGAGGGAAAGGAAACCCTGTGAAGTTCAGATAAAACCTGCCGCCACCGCCACCACTGCTGGTGCTGGTGCTGGTGCTGGTGCTGGTGCTGGTGGTGCTTGCAGCAGCCTGGTGCTGGTGCTGGTGCTGGTGCTGGTGCTGGTGCTGGTGTTGCTTGCAGCAGCAATCACCAAGCTGAACTTGTCTGTTCTTTTGATTCTGGGCTTTAACTGAGAAGAAACATCCTTCAGGGGCCCACCAAGAAAACTAGAATTTAGGTCTTTTAAAGAGGATGGTTTCTGCAGGGTTGTGGATTTAGGGCAAGAAATGGTTAAGGCTACTGCCATTTTTGTTGAAACAGTGGGAATTTTTTTATCAGGCCATCGATGTTCTAAAAGGTTGTGGCGGGGTGTCCATAATGTAAAACAGAATCCGGAGTTGGAACTTCCCCGGCCATGTTTGTGACCTGTGGAGGTCTGTCTGCGTTGGATTTTCTGGGAATTTATTGTGGATGGGAAAAGAAAAGGAGCAAAATAGTATTTTCTGTAGCAAATTAAGACCTTAATTTAGGATAGTTAACCCCCACATAAATCAGAGCTAAGAATGCAGGCAATGCTGTAGCATCGAATCCTGATCAGCCATATTTTGGGACTAGGTTCACCATGTGTTCCCACATAGCATCCACTCCACACTTGCATGGCAATTTTTAAGACAGCTCTATGCGCACGAAGCATGACCAAGAGCAGATAATCCAGTGACTAGCTTGATGACAACCAATTTTACACTGAAAGCTCATGTTCTACAGTTTCTTTTCAAGCCAAAGCGAACCAAGTTGCTTGCACCAACATGATAGTAACGAACCGGTCTCCTACCAACAAAACCTTCACTTGTTCAGAAGTAACATCTGGGAAATGGATAAAAACATATTTCAACTGTATTCCCAGAAGAGCTTCAGATATCCAAAAAGCATTCAGCTGGAATAATAGTATTTCCACACACAAGACTGATATGAAATGACTCTGGTTTTTATCACTTCGTTTCAAAACCCATCATAAAACAAAAAATTCCTAGTTAGACACATCGAATAGAACAATAATAAAGATACAACCAAGAAAACAAGCTTTTGGGTGATAGCCCTCACACTCTACTAATATTTCAGATACTTACAAGAGCATTGCACATCCATAAGGAAACAATTTTGGTGGGACCATTATTACCACCGAACCCCATTGCCACCACAAACAGCCCTAACACCAGCAAAATCCTACAAGAGCAGAAGAGCTTCTAACCATGGAAGATATAGGGGATAGTAGGACCGAGGAGCTTTGATGCCAACGAGTGATGTAGTCTTGGAGACTGGAAAGTCGTTGAATTACCAAGTTCACGTCACCAAGAAAAAGATGTGCGACTTCCTAGGTGCAAACTTCTACTCACAATGGTTACAGATTACGACACTAAATTGCATATCAAGTGATGATTTCTCTCACAAGCCAATCCAAACTAGGATAAGCAAAGTAAAGAATGAGAAATGATGGGAGGGCAAACAGAACAGTGATAAGAATGTACAGGGCCAAAATGCTTGCACTGGCAGGTATTACATATAAGATGATCAAAAGGAATATGATGACCAATGGGAACTTTGCTGTCAGACTAACAAAGAAAGCCAGTGATTTCTGAAGGGAAGAATGTATTCTCTCCACATTAAGGTAACTGTTGACATGATTATGATCATGGTGTGTCCCTGATGGTTCAGAGTGATGAATATATTGTCCTCTCCGGATGTTACCACGGCTTACCTTACTTCCATGAGCTAAATTACTGTCCGATGACCAGTGGGGTTGGTGGTCTTCACAGAAGGTGCCAGGAGACTTGTCTCTGTCACCATTCTTGCTCTCAACCATCCAAAGTAGAAAATAATTCTTGCGAGGAAATTTGAGGTTCCCTCTATAAACAAAGCGGAAAGATGATAAATTGCACCACGGGCAAGAAATAAAGAGAGGAAGCTTAATAGGTAATGTGGGGAATTTCACTACAGCCCATTGAAGCCCTAGGACGCAATTTTTGCAAAGAGTATGGCCACACCATAAAACATAAGGCACATTTTCCACAATATTGAAGGATTCCCAGCATATTGGGCACTCTAGAGCTTCTTCTGTGCTAACAACAGAAGATGCCTCATCATCGGAGTATTCTGATGGGAGTTGAGTAGGCTTTGTAGAATTGTTCATACTAGCACTTCCAGCTAGGCAATTGGATGCAAAATTCAACATTTTGATCGGTGACAAATGACTATGCAAACAAAATCACTTTCAATGGTTGTAGAAGCTGAACCATACAAGGAGTAACATTAACCATTTATTCATACTGCATTGTCTTCTCTTGCTAATAATTTCCGAGTATTTCACCTGGAAGGAAAAATAAGAATCAGAATGACAACCAAACTAAATTACATGTAATTTAGGCTGCCAGCTTCAGTTTGGCATCCATTTTCTACTTGAACTGCAATCTGATTATGTATAATAGAGAGATCTAGCTTTTAATCTTGTATGTCAAAGCAGATAATATCATGGTTTCATCATAATAAGCTAAAATCTCCAAAGAGCAGAAAGCTAATTAGAAAGAAACAGGATAAGGGGTTAGTAATCCAAAATGAAAAAGAGGATGCTGAAGAATTGACTTCATGGTGTCAGAGCTTCTAAACAGAACACCATCTCTTGTAATCTCAAATGAAAACTAGAAAAGAAAGGCTAAAATGACCCAAAAATGAGCGCATGTTTGCCAATATAAAAAAGGTCAGGATAGATTACTTGAGCACACATGCTGCTCTTTCATTGTTTCCCATTTAGACAAATACATTCACTGGTTAACCTTCAATGTTATTTGAGCAAGCTGCATCCTTAAATCAATTTGCATTCTCTACATGCAATGCCAGCTAGCTAGCAGCTACAGTTCACAAAGCAGAAGCAGAAGTTTGTACAACAAACAGTGACCATGACACATACCAATAAACTGAACAAGATGTATATTTGCAAATTCTAATGCCAAACTATCAATCATTACCCAGAGAAGTTAATTATCCCAAATATTCTTATCTAAGACCATCAAATCTAGATGTTATCCATTTATTAGATATGTGAACAGCTGAGAACTCACCTTCATGCACAAGCAAACATCCTTTTGCTACCCTAACTGAGCCCTATGCTTTCAATCTCTGCATGATGGACCGTGAAACTAATTAAGGTATTAAGTCAAACTTGCAAACAAAGATGACAGTTATGTGGTTGCGAAGATTGAACCATAAAACTTGTTTTCTAGTGTATCTAACAAATACAAATTCTTATCTTTCACCAATTCAGCACTGCAAGGGATGTGAATGTAGAGAGAGCTAATTCAATATTTGCAACAACTTTCTACAACACCAGACCTTATTTTGCATCCAAGTTTGCTTATGAATGTTCACTTGAACGCATATGTGCTTACTTGAGCGCGAGCGGGCATGTGGGGACATTTTTTGTTTCCCAGAACCATGCATTTATGTTTGTTCATCTTTGCCAAGAGATTGTTCCCTTCAGACGATGATATTTAGAATGAAATAATAGACCAACAATCTGAAATAAATCAAATACCACCCTCCCTTCAGACTCAAGCTCAACCTCAAGCTCAACCTCAAAATCAACCATATAACACAGATTAAAACTTGAATAAATGCTTCATAAGCCTTCGATTCAACAGTGCCAGACTAATTCCACTCCTAACAAAAAGCGTAACGAATTTTCAGCTAAAGTTAACCCCAAAAACATTAAAAAAAAAACCAACTCTAAATTCTTAGTTCTTTTACCTTTAGTAGATTCAACAAAACAAGGAGCAAGAAAATTCAACTAATAGTAGATTGAGAGAAAACAAACAAAGCCCACTTCTGTTTTGTCCTTAAAGAAACATTCCTAGCATTCAAAGAAGTAAAATAAAATAAAATAAAGAACTGATCCATGAAAATCCAAGCTTGCTGTAATTCTATATATATATATATATATATATATATATATATATATAAACTAACAACTTTGAACACCAATCAGGGAAAAAACAAAAAAAAAACAAAAAAAGTTCGGTACGCACCTTACGAGTTTATGAAGAAGGGAATTTTAAGAGAGATTCTTGATACATGATGAGAAGGAAGGAACAAAAACTGAGAGGTTCTGTTAAAGACGTGCATTTCTTTCTCCCTCTGCTTTGGTTGAAGATGAAGCAATAGACAAATTTTTGGAATTTAAGCCGAGTAGAGATCAAACTAGAAGGCCACTCCATCCAGTAAGGTTTCAATCTGCTCGATGTGACTGGTGTCGGTCATCTTCATGACTGTTTAAGAGGTTGTTTGTTTTCGTAGCTGAAATCAAGTTGAAATTGAATTGTGATTTTTTTTTATTTAAGATTAATATTTTTTTATTTTAAAAATATTTTGATTGGTTAATATTAAACATATTTTTTAACAAATAAAAAATATATATTATTTTTATATATTTTTTAAAAAATTATTTACACTCTCAAATACTACTTAAATATACATTGAAAATTATTTTTTAAAATATTTTTTATTTGAAAATATATTAAAATTATATATATATATATATATATTATTTTTTAAAATTGATTTTTGATACCAAAATATTAAAATAATTAAGAATATATAAAAAATTAATTTTAAATTAAAAATAAAAATTAAAAAAATATTATAGAATTATAATTTCAAACATCAACATAAGTTTTTATCACTATTTGAACATGTTAGGTAAGTGAAGGGAAAAAATTAATGATCCAAATTACTCTCAATTTTCTATTTTGTGTTTTAGAGAGTAAATTTTATCTTCCATACAATTTATTGTTATTTTTATTATTATTTATCTCTGTGCTGCTACTTTCTATCTCAAAATATACACTCAATAACCATCTAGGTGATGGTCAAGTGGTAAGAACTTAGGATCAAGGAGTTTGCTCCCTCTGTGGTCTCAGGTTCGAGTTCTTGGTTGCTCATATGATGATCACTGGAGGCTTACATGGTCGTTAACTTTAGGACCCGTGAAATTAGTCATGGTACGCGCAAACTGGCCCGGACACCCACATTAATCTAAAAAAAATATACACTCAATAATTTGTTATTCACCTCTCATCACTCTTAATTATTTTATATCGTTAATCCTTAACTCTTTATAACTTTTATGTTTTCAAAATTACTTTCGTAAGAACTTTTGTCCATTTTCTTAATCCCATACCAAACGACACCTTAATTTTATTAAGTACCCGTGTTCATTCATGATTTCTTTGTAACCAATTTTTTGGAACTCACTTTTAGAATGAAAACATAATTATTTTATTAATATTAAATAATTACAGCACAAATCATCATTCTCACACAATGATATCTCCTAAAATCCAAATTGAAAATAAGGATTTTATTTTGAATAATTAGTTAATTTTTTATTTTAAAATTTTGATTCATTTTTCTCTTGAGATACTTGATGTTCTATTACTCCTAAAAAAAGTCTTATTTAGTGAACTTAAAGATTATATAATAGTTAAGTTAATAACTTAGAGAAATTATAATAATTTTACAAAGAGATATATTAAAAATAAATATTCAGTAGAATATAGTATAGAGATTCTGAACATTTTATTTAAAAGATTTATGTTTTATTTATAATTCATGAGTCTTTTAATAGAGAAGAAGAACTAAAGTATAATATTGCCTAGATAGTATTTGTCGGGTTTCCTCAATATTATACATAGAGTGAAAACTATGAAACAAAATTATTCGCCTCTAGGATCATGTTAGATAGATCTAAAATTGTTTATGAATCTATTACTTGAAGATCTTATCTTATTCGATTTTGAATAATTTTTTAAAGAATAAATTGTAGCAAAACACAAGCTGTCTAATTGTCCAGCCTCCAACGATAATCAACACAAGCCACTCATGACAAATATTCTAAATACCTATTTAGGATATTTTTTGAGGGATTGTTATGGAAGTGTTAGCTCTAATTTTGTGTTTACGTAGTTTTTCTGTCTAATAGATAATTACTTTTTTTTTCACTTACAAAATAATATGCTTAAATTTATATTTATAAGGAATCCAAAAACCCTTATAAATGACAAAATATATATTTTCCTCTTAAATAATATCCATATATTATCTAAGGATGATTTTAGAAATTTATTCAATTAAGTTCTTGATTTTTCTAAGTTTAAAAATACAATTCTTTTAGTAATTATATTCTAGTCTTTAATTTTTAAAATATATTTTAATCAAGTCATACTTAATTAAATCATCTTAGTTTAATTTCTAACTAATAGTTTTTAATATGTATGACCCATTAGGTTATTAATATGTTGACCTAAATATAAAATAGAACTATAATTAGATAGTATTAAGTAAATTAAATAATTTAATTTATTATTAATTCATCAATTAATTAATTTATATTTAAAGGTCAGATGCATTGTTTAGGAACATGTTATGACCCTCAAATATTAAAAAAAATCATTAATGACTTGACGAAACCTTTTAGTGATCAATTTCTCAATGTAATTAATATCATTTCATCTATTATGTTTCGATTTACTATTAAAGCATGAGGTATATCTGTCATGTTAAATCATATTTGTTCTCTACATAATAGTCATTGATTGTTTGAATAAGATTTGAAATTCTTTTCAAATCTCATTCTATATTAGCCAAGTATTTCTTAATTAGTACTATTTGAGAATAAATGGAACATTTTTCCTAATTTATTTAAGGTGATGAATTTTCTCTTAATCACTCAAGTATCTTCATATACTTCATGCTACATCCAATGTTTAACCTTTCATTACCTTAATTAAGATAACATGTAACAAAATCAAAGTAAAATATTCTCTATATAAAATGACTTAGTGATCTCAAGTTTAAAGATTATTTACACAACCATCACATGAGTTTTTTCATAAATATAGATGATCTCTCCATATGAAATTATCCTGTAAGTTAGTTCATTGTACATGTTTTATAACAAAGACTCGCATATTAGTTCTAGAGTTCATTGTACATGTTTTATAACAAAGACACGCATATTAGTTCTAGGTATTTCTTATACCTCAACTTATAAGAACAAATTACTTCCTTTCATAAAGGGAAAAACATAATATACACCAGTTTTTACGACTTTAATGAATATCTTATATTTAAAAGAGCATCGACCAAGAAATTTTAGAAACAGTACTTTCATGCAAATAAAATATCATAATTATAACAACTTTATAATTTCTTTTACAAAGTATTTTGTCCCATGGAATTTATCTTACTCTAAATTCATTAATCTAATATTATATGAATATTAAAGATAAATTAAACATTTATTAATAACATATATGTATTTACATTAATATGATAATTTCATGTATAAAAAATCCATTGGCTATAGGGCATATTAAATTAACAATATCCCACTTTCCCTAAAGTTAATAACTTATGTATCTTGTTGTGTGCTAGCTTTAAAATGACGCAATTTAAAGAACATTCTGAGAGGTGTTGTGTTGGGAAAGAAAAGAGTTTTGGGTCTAATCATAAAATTATAATTAAGGTTTAGGAATCACCACCTAGTATTATGGTTATTAAAAAACCTATAATATATGAAAGTCTGAGTAAAGAACTGGTTGTGTAAGAGAAAGATGCATCACCCTCATTGCACCCTACAACAAGTAAGCTAAATTGTCATTTGATTGTTTTTATAAGTCAAGTTTCTATTAATTAGTTTTTTTCTAAGATCTAAAGTAGGTCTTCCTTTGTGAGAAAGTCTTAACCTTATTTGGTGAAATCCTAATCGTTCTAAAATTCAAATTTTAACATTGCATTTATTTTGCACCTTATATATTTAATACCTGTGAGTATACTCTATTATGTAGTTTTACACTCCCAAATATTAAAGTCTACATCTAAACCCTAATATAAAATAAAGAAAACAATTGGTGAAGGGTTTTTGATATTTTAGCCAAATCCTAATGAATAACTATAAACTGATTATCTTGTATTTTTAAAATGTGATAAAGATGTATTTTTTTGTTTTTAAGAAAAATATTCCTATAACATTTTAGGATTTGGTCGTATATAAGAAAACAAAATATTTTATTTTTTTCTAAAGGAGGAAATTAATTTTAAAAGTTTTTTGAGATTTTTGTGCAATTTTTTAGAAACCTTTCGGAGAAAATTAGATATTTTAACATCAAATATGTACCTTATAATGTAAATATACAACCCAATATTATGCAAAATTTGTAAAAAAACATGTGAGAAAATCATAAATTTTTTAAAGAACTTTTAAATTTTTTTAATATATTATTATTATTATTATTAGTGTTTTGTCCCAAGTACAGGAGTGTCGAAGTAATAAATAACCCAGCAAGACTAGGGTCGAATCACATGGAGGTTAATTGTACAAATTATAAACAACAACAATAGTAACAACA